TGATTATAGCGATATATCGCCGCTCATTATGGGGTCAAAAGTGATTGGTCGCCCATTGTCCTTGCAGTCACGCCACGTACACAACGAGCGAATACTTGCACTTCGAGTGGACGGCGCGCGCACTTTTGGGTGCCATTTCCTGCTCTACCGCGGCGTTGGACCCACGTGTTTGCCTGATGCCATTCTGCTTTGTTACCCTTTGCGGCTTACTCTTATCTGCGCCTCTAGTTCGCTCAAATGTATGTCAGGGTGAAAATTCGGTGGCGTGTAGCCTGTGTAGTGAATGAACTTTTGCGTGAAATTGACGAAGCCGTTAGATGCCGCGTCTTAAGTCCGTTCTCTGACGTGGAGACGTCTTTTTATGACGGAGATATGGGCTCATCAGCGTCGACCTCGTTCCACTAATCTGGTGAATCCCAAATTGCACAGACCACGGAGGGTGAGGCAACCTTACGTGATGTACTGCCGAAGTGGGCACTACGGTCACAAACTCCGCATATTCATTTGAATAATCTTCTGAAAATAACGAGGCTACCCTTGCCTGACCAGCTTTCGGACGCGCGAACACTGTTGCGTGGGGCAAACAGTATTTTACCGGCAACAGCAATGGACTGCGGGGATTAACCTCATTTAGGTGTCATAAAGCAGTTTAATTATAAGTTTCTTGTCTGTTCCATGCATATTCGAGGTGATGAAACAGTGGCTAATCCAGCAATCGACGGGCTGCCTATTCTAGATAGTATTCAGCCCTTTGTAAGATGTTTGTAGTGGTAAGGTATTCATCTCGCTGTAACTTCTACAATCCAGTGGTCACCTCTAGCTGTCTTTTCCATCTTATTTAACTTCGCCAGCCAAACTGAACAAGACGCAACATACGAACCTCCTTCGCGAATCACGAAAATAGACGAACGAGCCCAGACTATAACGGAGGACGACCCAAGGATCATTTGAGACAGTCGAGATACTGGCATAGTAAAAGGGGACCTGTATACAGACAGAACCACAGGAAGCCTGTGTACAATTGGAGAGAACTACTATCAGGGGAGAATAAATATGGGATCAACTGAAATGCGGGTCCTGTGCAGGGGAGACCAGGTGTGTTGTTCATCGACGGAGGACCAGGGCAGAGGCGTCCGCGTCGTGTCCTTGAGGCAATCGACACTGGTAAGCTGGGCTTTCGGATAGCAGAGTTGAGGCTGTTGCCAGCTGGCTCGCTTTCGAATCCAAAACCTACGGGAGCATTGACGTCAGGGTGTCTGCATGTCCCGAGGGCTTGGCTGCTGTACAGGGGCAACGTGCAGGTAGCCTAGATTGCACCTCGCCAGGGCCACCGGTTTTCAGTCGTTCGCCTCTGAATTTCCAGCTCCTCCGCGGAGCAGTCCCGCTTTGACCCGTTCCGAACTGACTACGTTGCTGCACACGCACTTAAGTTCCTGCTAGTTCACCTTCTTCTACTAACAGATTTACGTAATTTTTGAGGTATTTCTTTCAGCTTGGTCCTTTACAACTGCTTACCTTTCTTTGACGGTTTCCTTTCCTCCGTATCTCACTCACCGTCGTTGTTTCCCTGCAGCTACTGCCAATAAACTTCCGTTATACTGGTGTCTTCTTAGCTTATACGGTTCGTTGGCATTTGCATGCCTGCCACATCTGTACCTGCTGACATATGGCCCCTCCTTAATCCAAGTGGTGACTACGGATTCACTTCTCTTATGGCCCCGTCTTTGTTGACAAGTAGATCTAGCCAGTTGGAACGTTGTCCTTCTGTCGTCTTTGTTCCGAAGTCTATGTGTTGGATAAGTCATTCTCCCAGGAATACCTGCAAGAAGGATATTTCTGGAGCGTTTGCTATGAGAGTTTTCCAGTCTATTCAAATTACAGCAGTCACTCATGGTTACTAAGCACTCCCGCTCGCATATATTTAGTGAATCTGATAATTCTGCGTCGGGTTTTTCATTCGAGCTGAAAATCCCATAGAGCGCGCACAGGTTGAGAGTCGGTAATCGCCTGATCTTAATCGGTAATGAAATACATTCGCAATTCCATGATATTGCGCCAGGGACTTACTGCTGACAGTAGGAGAAATTCGTCGATGTACATTTCAACACCCCCATCTTTATGTTCAAATCTGTCACATGGAAGCATTTGATGGCCCCCGCTACTAATTTTACGGATCATTATTTAGTCAGTCAATCAGGTTTCTATCAATGGAATTATGTGGAGTTCCTGGCCAGAGACTATCTGAGCCCACTTGGTTCATTTAGTTTGCTCATGGGTTGCGCGTAGGCGAATAAACTCGTATATCGGTTTTGTTCTCAATACAGTTTCCTAAATGAAAAGGTCAATAATTGAGCCAACGGCCGTCAGGGGGCGTCCACGACGTCTAGACATAAGTAAGGTTTGGCGGTCAGGCTCTACACCCAACCCGCATGAAACGCCTTACCCCATTATTACCTACTGTTCCAAGTATTATGCCCAAAAAGTCATTGTATCCTATTACTGAAGTCAGACCTAGCTGTCCACCTCTCAAAAAGGGATATCAGTGGCCTGGTGGAATCTAAGGTCTAGTCAGCCTCATCAGTGGAGAAATTCGTCTCTGTGTTGTTTACTGAACGGACAGGCTTTTAAGCCCCAGTCAGTCCTTTTACGTCCAATGAACTTACTACAGCATAAAGTGTCGGCCAAAAAAACTAGAAAGTAAGGAAGTTCTCACTACTGTTTCCGAATTCCGGCAAGATCTTTGCGACAGTTACCCACCCATTGTCTATTGAGAAGCTTTATGGAAGTGTTCTAGTCGGAAGTGCAATTGTCTAATTTGAAAGCTTTGTAGGTCACAGGGCTTTCCCAGTGTGCGTTCGACAAGCCATAGCACTTTATTTGCTGGCAGATGTCAGTGTTACATAAAGGCCTGTGACAAAGCCACTAAATTCTAAAGGTGCCTCACAACGGACTGCGTTGCAGATGCGCTGGACCAAAACAGGGCTCAGACTGACACGCGTTTATCGATAGCGCGGAGTCCGTACGAGCCCATAATTACTGCCGCACGTGTGCGCTGCACAAGCCAGTTGACCCAATTTCATTACCGTTTGATTAGCAGGCTCGCACAACGGACCGATGCATAATACGGAAGGGAATTCGTCCTCGCGGCACATCAGTGCATTCCTCGGTCTGACAAACCTGATGCGCTTGAACCTATCACGACGCGCTAAGAGTCATGCCTTGGAATGCCGTCAGTCCACGGGATAACTCGGTCCTTCTCTCGGGACAGAATCAAGCTGCATTGGTTCCTTCCCAATGTGACCTTTATAGCACTCACGCATGTGAGGTCCGAGCTGTCCATACAGAAGCCGGATAAATGTATTAGGTCCAGGTCGTGTTTGGTACGCGTGGACAGGCTGCGTAACTCTGTCAGCCACTATGCCCGAGCCCACATTCGGTCATCTTGACGTTGTCCTGGTGTAGGAGCAAAGTGGGGGGGGGGAAGGAGAGAGATTAGGCAGATGCTACGCAAGTCTGACCTAACGCACTCCAAAATCATCGATGCAGCGCCCACTCCGTGGAGCACACGGTGGAAGTTGTCGCATGTGATGGTCAGACTGCCGGACCTCAGTGATCTGGAGGTAGTTTTCACTCGCTGTCTATTGTCTGTATGTGGCGATAACATTTCAGACCAGGCATGCAACCTTACATCGAGGGATGGCATGCTCATAAAACGCGTTGAGGAATGGAACGGAATTTATCGTAGAGAGCGAATCAGTATCCTGTTTTTTTACGGCTGCCCTGGGGCAGTACATGGCAGGGAACATGAGATTAAAAAGGGTGGGAGGGAGTACGCAGCCCTATTTCACTCCATTGGTTTCTGTGTATGTTTCTGAGACTGTCCCGTTGACTGCAACGCGAGCCATCATCCCGTCGTGGAGCTGACGCTACATGTGCGGGAATCGATCAGGATAGCCGCATTTCCGCATGATTTTCTAAAGTACATTACTATTCGCTGTATTGAGGGCTCTTGTCAGATCCACAAAGGTACTCTAGAGGCCGCTCTGTATTTTCTGACACTTCTGCGATTAGTGGGCGGCGAAGATCATGTCAGTAGTTCCACAGTGTCGTCGGAAGTCACACTGGCTTTCCGGGAAAAGTCCGTGTTCCAAATGACTGTTAAGACGATTGAGAAGGTTGCAAGCAAAGATTTTCCCGACGTTGCTGGGCAGCAGAATCCCTCTGTGATTATCATGGAGTTGTCGCATCCCTTTCTGCCTGTACATAATGACGGTTGTCGCGTCCTTGAAATCGTGAGAATTTTCCTTGCTGCCACATCTCCTGTAATAGCGATATAATTTTGTCTATCAGTCGGGAGGTCACTGTGCTAGTAGGGCTCAGTCGGGATTGCGTCGTATGCGGGTGCCTTCTTGTTGGAGCTCTGTTGTACAACTTTGATTGCTTTGAGAGGAAAGACGGCGGCCCATACCGGCATTGATTTCAATTTGCGGAAGCCGGTCGGTGGCAGCGTCGAAGATTGGGGATGAGCGGTTAATGGCGGTTCTGAAGTGCTCATCCAACGCTTTGGAATCCGCAGTTTCTCCGCAAGAAGTGTTGTTCCTTCGGAGATTTGGTTCAGAAGCCGTAGACTTCCTTGGTGGAGACGAAGAAATTCCCCATATCGCCTTGGTCAGCTTATCCTGGAATTTCCTTGATCTCACGACCCATCCACCCTGAAGCTCGTTCGTCGAATTCGATGGTGGCCGCTACTGACACAGGCGGAGGGGGGGGGGAGGGGCACCTGCACATGTTTTGGATTATATTGAAAGCCACTTGCGCTGCATCTACCTGTCTTACAATTCACTCTAACCCGCATCCTTTCCTCTAGTAAGTCGGCCCTCTTTCTTCGGAAACTCCACTGTTTTGACTCGACTGTGTCCATGGTTTTGAAATGTACTTCGCATTAACACAATTTGTTTTTTTTTCAAGCTTGCTTTTTCAAAGCCGGACGCTCTAAATGGCTCTCCAAGAAGTTTCCTCGTCTAAGTGTTTTGGAGGCCAACAAAAAGTCTACTCACATGAAAGGTTGGTTCCTGATCCACTCCTCGTCACCTTGACTCGATCCTTACATATAGCTCCACGGTCAACAGTGCGATGAAGTTTTCGGTCTACCTACCGCCTGCCTACGGTGACCATGCAAATTTACCGGTGGTATTTTTCCTACAGGGTTTGTTATTGGACTCTTCATTGCATTAAATTTTCTTTCTCGCAGGCTTAACATGCACAGAACAGAACTTCATCGTCAAATCTGGTGCTCAGAGAACTGCTGCTCGTCTTGGACTCATTCTCGTCTCCCCGGACACCAGTCCACGTAAGTTGGACCATCGCATCCTAACGCCTCCTCATCTTCCTTCTCATTAGGTGGCTGTAACATCCCCGGTGAGGATGACTCTTATGATTTCGGCTCGGGTGCAGGCTTCTATGTCAACGCGACTCAAGAACCCTGGTCGATGCACTATCACATGTATGATTATGTTACAAAGGAGGTTAGTTGTAACGCAGGTCAGATGTCTTTGCTAATCTAAGGCACTAACAGTTGACCACTGCGATTTGGAACCAGATAACAATGGATGTGTTTCAAATAGTTGAAAGTATGCGAGGTCCGGGTAAATGTATAGAAGAGGTGAGGAACTTACTTCCCGATCCAAAGTAGAGTTTCTCTCACGCCCAGTACTCTAACTCGAACCCATCGTACAACGGTTAGAATTCGACTACAACCGTCAGTGGCCTTTAACGGCCCTGCAGATTTTTTCTCGCTACGTTTAGTACGTCGATGATAGACCGCTATGCTTGTTGGCGGATTCATTGTTTGAACGTTGCACTGCCTACGGGGATATCTGTTAGGTGTAAATAACCTTTAGAGATATGCTTCAACCTTCTCTGTGCAATGGGTATCGACACGGTGACAGGGTGTTTTTAGGCAGCTTTTTGCGTGAGATCGGGTAGTCACCGTGGCGGCCTAGGGTGCGAAAGGTACTGGACGTCTTCCTGTAGACGATTGTTTTAAGTTCGCCATCACTTTTTTGCGGAATAGCACGTCTAGGAACGGCGACTGACCGTTTTCTGCCCTTCCATCATGAGTTTGACTTCTGGAAAGACTGAATTTAAACGTTGAACGAAATCGTCAATCATTTCTCGTCAGTGCCACCGACCTGCTGGATCCACAGTTTTCGTCTATGTTTGTCTAAAGCCGGTGGCTCAGGTCTTTGCAATATCGAGTCGGCAGTGAGGCTGGACAACAAAGACTCCATTCACTTGTCCACATACAACTCTGTCGGATGCAAACAAAGTCTTAAGCAGTTTCTGAGAATACCAAAGATGCGCGTAGTTTTTATTTTGGTGTCCGTCTCATTATAGCGTTCTTTCATCAGGGTTTGTTTGGTCTTAACAGCATGGTGTTGCTGGAGAGAGGTTGTTTTTTCGTGATAAATATGGCATCAGTTTGGATGAGATCTTCTGATAGATCAAATTTCTGTTTTTTTCCGCATCGCTGGCCTAACGAATGATAGTTTCGGTAATTATGATAATTTTCAGTGGTTAGGCTTCGGTTACGTTAAAGCAGGGACCATGGCTTACGATTCTCATCTGTTCCACTGTCAGCTCTTCCGCAGCTAGATTGTGAGCAATATTCACACAGCATTGGTTCAGCCTCCCTTCGTTCAACTTGGTCGGTCCTTGGGCTAGTTGGACGTCACTCGCATCGTTAGTTCATCTTGCATTGCGAGTACTTACTTGGTGCGGGCTACTTGTCAGAAGTCCTCCAATAATTTGGAACGGCGGTCAAATTGAGTCTTGAACCCAGATAGGGCCATCCCTCTACACAGTTGCACAGTTGCATTCGCCCCCTATCTAGTCTGTCATTTAGGACCAATGACAGAAATTAGATGTATTTGTTGCCTCTGCCGCCTTTTATTCATTTTGTGTGTCAGTGTCTCTTGCATAGTATCGGCAAATAAAACCGAACTTCTGGCAAGCACTATTATCTGAAATCAGTTATCTTCCCCAGGGTCTGCTTTTCAAAAATTCATCTGACCCAATTGTGGAAAACTCGCCGGCCTAGGCATGTTTTGAAGTAACAACAGCAAGTTCAGGAGTTATGTACAGTTAACGCCCTAACCACCTGTGCTACGAGGCCCCGGCCCATAGTTGTCTGGCGGATTCTAGATTGATTGCTTAGGAAATCCTGCTTGGGCGGTCAGCTTACCGTGTCAGAATTTGCGGATTTCATACGGTACAGTAAGTTGGGCGGCTACTTTGACTCAAATGGCCTTCTGTCGGCGAATTCTAGGTCAGGTGGTTAGAGCGTTGGCCGTGCACAAACCTTGCACTTACTGTCATGGGCTCAAACCTTTCTGAGGCCGCCAGTTTTCTATAACTGGGTCAGATGAATTATGCAAGTCTGCCAAGTGCACATATTTCAAACAATCATCTGCTGCTCACGGGAATTTTTTAGTTAAACTTGCCTGGTTTTATCGGCTAGCTTCAATATGTCCACATCAATAAAGGCATTGTAAGCCGATAGTTTATCTCCTCCGTGAGCTTATACGTATTGTTTACTGAAACCCCTGCCCGTCTACGATCTTTATTATTGCATCGGAACGTGCTTCTATCTTACTCCAGGTCTGCATTATGGCAACAGGTGAGAGGGTTGCATCATTTTTGGATGCTTTAGTCTCCCCTTCTTGCAATTTCAACCTGACGGATAAAGAAATAGAACACTAACTCCATCTTGACTGCATGGCGTTGTAATTCACGCCAATTCTCCGGACCTGTGGTGGTGAACTACGAGTGTTTTTCTTTCCATATGTCGCTTTTGTTGTGTTTCGGGAGAAACGCCCTACCCCCTCGATTAAATTCCTTTGCCTTGTCTGTGATCCGCCCCCTCCCCACACCCTTGTTCCATCGGTTGACTCTTTCACACACCATTCTTTACGATATTTCAATTGACCTGTTTTTTGTCAACTTTTTTGCCACGTTTAGTTGCCAGAGCTGATTGAGAAGAACTTCAAGATCTTGCCTGGAAAATACGGACTCATGGGTCACAGGCAAGTTTTGCCTCTTCTCTCTTTTACTACCGCTTTGGAAAAGTCTGCATGTGTTACACTACCGCCATTTGCATCCTCCTTTAGCATGGGCGGCCACGGCGCACTGATTGTGGGTCTTCGGGAAGCTGACCGCTTCGTTTCCGTCTCAGCGTTCGCGCCCATTTGCCATACATCAGTCAGTCCCTGGGGCATAAAAGCGTTCACCGGTGAGCTGGCTTGTGTTCTTTTGATCCTTTTGGAGAGCGCTAGCCTGGTCTTTCGGTGACAAGTCGCGCCTGATGACAGTATCACCCTATGGGCCGCAGCTGCTTATTCGTCAGACCCTGTAACCTTTTTATTTCGCGGCTCGCCTTCTCCGAAGGTGGCCTCTATCTAGCCTTTCAAACCAGCCCAGTCTCCCGGTGTCCCTGCTTCTCCAATCTAACCCGCCCGCGGCTTATTTTCAGGCCGCTTTCAGTCTATGGCAGGTATGGCAGGCCCCCATGTATCCTCTCCAGGCGTGAGTATTGTAGAATGACCCTGGCAGACTGATCGGGCACCCAGTGTGCTGGTTGATAATTAACCGAGCTTTGTACGCCGTACGTAGTAGTAACCGCCCCCTCCCCCCGCCTCCGGTTTTCTTGACTATGTCTTGACACCGGACGCAGGTGGGGGAGGAGGAGAGAGTGCGGTAGATGCAGCGCAAATCTACATTCACTATGAACTAAATCACGCTCAAGTCATTGTGATTGCTTCACCTTATTGTGGGCTATGCAGTGGACATCGTCGGCAACGCCGGTCGAACTATCGCAGTAACCGTAATTACAAACGTTGTATGTTTGGTTCCATATCATGGCTATTAAGGGGTGACGGATATACCCATTTTGGCGATTTTAAGTTTGTGTGGCAAGTATGCCCAGGAACACTTTGTAACACATAAAAATCAGACAAGTTGCCCGGCTCACTTTATTCTTGCAACTCGAACACCATAGAGAGAGAGGGGGGGAGGGGGACGGGGAGAGGGAGAAGTAAATCTGACAGTGCAGTAGTTTTCGCAAACATTCACTTCATACGCAAGTCACCACTACTTAGGTAACGGTGGTTTATAATTCGTCACGGTGGTGGAACAATCCTGGAGTACTTATAGTTAATTAGGCTTGAGTGCTTTAGTTCACTATAGCATAGGGCGGCCTACCATAGTACCTTTCCTTCATGTCCGCTAACTTGACATTTCGGTTCTACCACCGGTGTCTCAAACAGAACGTGTAGTGTGACCGAGTTCTCTGCGTTTTGCGTGTTTCTGGCAGTGAACACGCTGACAAAATACGCCCCGTCTGCTCAAACTATTGGATATTTTGTTTAATGCCATCTTTTAGCTCATGTCCCCCTTGCTCCTGAGACGCCTGTCACCTTGCTGTCTGTTTATTGCCCTTTGTTTCAGGTTACTTGGGAGCTGATGCGGACTGGTCCATGTACGACGCTGTCGAGCTACTGACCACTCACAAGAAACGTTTTGCCCGTGCTCCTCTGATTGACCAAGGAGATCAGGATGAGTGGTTAGAAAAGCAGTTGATGACAAGCGAACTGGAGAAGGCTTGCACAGCAGTCGGGCAAGACTTGAGGCTGCGGTACCAAAAGGTAAATTGGTTCCTCCTTCATTTCCTCGCCAGTTTGTTCTACTTTGTTTTGACTCTCGTCCCACTTCTCTTTCTCCTCTAAACCAAGTTTTTGTCGGTTTTCAATCCTTCTGTGTGATATTGGGTAGGTGCATTTCACCTCCTAATTAACAATTAGTCAGGGTGCAACCGGCATTTATTCGTACAAGGCTCAGGGAATTCAAGAGTCTGCTATGCTAGGATCAGCAAACCATGGGCCTCGCAGCGTGGTGCGCACTGGCATTTCTCGGACACCTAGTTCCCTGCCGGTAGATGTGCTCGCGCTGCCGCTGGGTATACAAGTCGTGAGCATGGCTGCCCAGTAATTCTCGTATTTATGACCCACTGTGGTGCTGCTATTGGTTAAAATCCTTGTCAGGTGTTTGTTGTGGACCGGGGAACGCCAAGGTACGGGTTCGGCTGTATGAGCCACCTGCGCTCTCCTTCACCTCCGGTCTTCTTGACTATGTCTAGGCACCATGTCCAGATGCGGAAGAAGGAGAGGGTGCGGTCGATGCTATGCGACTCTACTTCCATTACGAACTATTTAACGCACAACTCACCGTGCCTGCTGTCATCTTGCCGTGGGACACACGGTGGACATCGTAGGCACTGTCACTGGACGTGGAAGGCTTAGGGGCCCTCGCGACTGCTTTCCCGGATACCTGACCGGTGTCTTTTAAGTCCCTAGAGTAAGTCGTCTGCTGTGCGATTGTCGCTTCCTGTCTGTGAGCGACTCCAACCCCAAGTCCGTTCCTCGATATGGCGAATTCATCGGACGCAGTAAGGTACTGTGAATCAGCACCTCGTTTTTGGTTCCACCGTGGTGTTTTCCTTAACTGCTCGTTCGCATTTCTCAACAAAAATGCTAGAGTGCTATAACACAGTCCCGTTTCTGCACGATCAAGTGGTTGATATGGCGAATTGGAATAAGGGGTGGTCGTCGGCGTCACAGCAAACGTTTTCTCCCTTCCTATCGCTCTTTTTGCAGACCACCATGTATAGAAAGGGCAAATGTTCATCTTTTCCTTTTATCATGGTGAATTGGGTGTCTCGAAATATCGAGTTCAGGGGTTGGGTGAATTTCCAAGCTCTGTCCCGATGCGTTGTGATGTAGGCGTCATTAACATACCGCATCCATATCTTTGAGTGAGTGTTCAATAGCCAGCTCCTCCACTTTCTACAATACCGCCTCTGCAATTAGACCACCTGCGATATGTTGCTGACACATGTGTTGCCATTGAAAAGGTCTACTTCGAGTCGTTCCACAACGCTGTCAGCCCAACAATTCTGTATCCTAAATACACACTCCAAAAGGAAGTTGAGAAAGAAGCTATCATTTCTAGACATTCTCGCACAGCGAAAGACTAACAAAAAATCACGCAAACAGATTTACCACAAAAAAAACTTATGATGTTGTCTGCAGTCTGCTTATTCGGGCAAAACACATTGTTCTGACGAAGACGGCTAGGAAGTCGAACTAAATTACCCGTGTGAATCAGAATGGGTTCTGTGAAGATTTTGTGCATCGATGAGTGAGAGATAAAGAATCATAAGAAAGCAAAAAAGGTAGTTCTAGTCAAACGAACCCTTCCTTGCATTAAGAATGTGCCCAAACTCCTTGGAAGACATCAGAGGAAACACCAAATTCAAGTGACGCACAAACCGACGACCACATTACGCACTCGCCCTGTACGCCCTAGGGATAAGGTTGAATACTTAGATATGAAGGCAGTCGTCTAAAAAATTCCGTGAGATGCCTGCGATGCAGTTGGTTTTGGTCAAACTAGAAAACCCGCCTCTGACCGTGTTCAGAAACATCATTTGCTAATAAAGAGGGGAGACCACCTGTCTCAAGTGCCTGTGCATACCCTGGACACCGGGCACACCTTCGCTTGGGGCCAAATTCGCATTGTCATTGTTTGCCCTTTCGAGAAGGGTCGACAACTCCTCGAGACCATGCATCTATCGGCAGACTGATGTCCTAAGAGTCAGGCAGCCATGGTCCCTTATTAACGTGATCTCTGGCTCTCCCACGCATGTGAAAAGTGGACGTGTCTTCTATGGGTAGTGCCCCTCAGTCGATGGCTGACTGATTACCCAGCCTTTGAAGGGTGATGGCCCAAGCAAATGCAGGACTGCGTGTCACCCTTCTGTGCCTCAAGGAGGTTAGCGTCTGCTATGTTAGGATCAGCAAACCATGAGCCTCGCAGCCTGGTGCGCGTTGGCAATTCTCTAACACCTGGTTCCCCGCCGGTAGACGTGATTGCACTCCTGTTTGGTATATAGGTCGTGAGCATGGCTGCCCAGTAATCCTCGTCTTTCTGACCCGTTGTGGTTCTGTTGTTGGCTAAAATCCTGGTCAGGTGTTTGTTGTGGACCAGGGGACGTGCAGTGGAGCGCCAACGTGCGGGTTCGGCCGTGTCAGCCACCTGTTCTCTCCCTCACCTCCGGTCTTCTTGACTCTGTCCTGACACCAGTCCGCCACTTCGCACAAACACACGCAACTAAGCAGACTGCATGAACTGGGTCGAGGCGTCAGTCGGGAGCCTTGTGAGCCACGGCACTTGGCGCACGGTGATGGTCTCAGACTCGAATCACACATGCAGTAGAGGAACTGCATGGAGACCGAGCCGAGAAGCACACTTCCCATTTGCGTGGGATGTGACAATCGAGTGATTGCAGTGGTAATATTTTTGTTTGATGCGCTTTTGGTGGGGGGGGGTGTGATGTGGCCGGCGGTTGTCTACGGCAGGTTTTCGTGAATGCGCATTTTACCTAATTAACCCGTGGGTGAATACCGGGTGCCAGGTTACTCACTTGTGAAGGTGTAGTCGGTTATGTTGGTAAACACCCTACTGTCTTTATTTAAGTAACACATCTGTTCATATAAATTTGTACACCGTCTGACATGTCTCGTTCAAATGCTGCGAATGTGTTGTTGGCTGTTGTTTCTCAAATTCTCCTCCTTTTAGCACTTCTGTTTCGCTATCAGCCTTACGCACTTCCGATACTAAAATTGCCTGTAAATGTTTGCAAATTAACTGCCGTCCATGCAGACCTGTATCATTTAAGTAGATTTTTCAAGGGCTTCTGTTACTTACTCCAAATACACTGATTAATTGGTTGAGACGCCTGTGGTGTCTCTAGTTAGTCACTTCTAGGCGTCTCGAAACTACTCCATCCTAGTGCTCTAGGTTTTGTTCACGCCTAACGCTAGTGTCTACCTCTTCTTTCGGCAGGGCTACGATCATTCTTACTTCTTTATATCCACCTTCATGGAGGATCACCTCAATTTCCATGCGAAAAACCTCTCGGAGTGAGCACCTTTTCCCTGGCGTCTTCATCGCTTCCGCCACTGTCTATGATGCTTTTTTAATATTGCGCTTTTCTAATTAGCCCGATTTTTCCACAGTTCGGTTAATTATTGCCTCAGACAATCACTCTCTGCATCGAGATATATGTGCGGGTCATATTGTTTACTTTCCAGCAGTGGCAGGAACGTTTTTGTGCCGAAACGAAAAATACAGTTTTTCGTGTTTATCCCAGTTGTTTCCTTTTGATCAGTGGCAGCGTTCTCTTTTCATCTGCCCGCCTTCCGGGGTTCTAAGCAGGCGAGCCGGCTGCATTGAAAATCCATGATCGCTTGTCAGCGATCGTTCACATATCTCATACCGGATCCTAAAGGATTACGCAAGGTTAGGTGACTGCGTCGATTTCATTATCTAAGCAAGACCTAACTGTAGGAGGGACGCAGTTACGATCTATAAGGAGACATCCTACCGAGGACAAGCTTCTAGGCCAATGTTAGGGCAGAGGGTCGCCCCTCTCGACGTTACTGATCTCGGACTGGTCCAGCCGTAGCCCGCGAGCCACAGTCTTTCGGTGGTCGAGAACCCGACTGCCGTAACATGGAACAGTTTGACGGGAAATTATTCCCTGTTGATCTTGAATTCGAATGCGGAAGCCTCTATCCGCACCTGCGGTTCACCAGTTTAAGGCTTCGCGATTCCAGAACACCGAGCAAATCCCTGTTGGATGGCGGGCGGCATTTGGTGTGTAGTAATCCCATGTCTTGTGTCGAGTCGGTGTGCGTCTCATTCGCAATGTCAGACTTTAACAGCCAACGTCTGAGCCACTCTGCTGACAGGCCACTAGCCAGGTTGTAAGTAGTCATAATCTCAACAATCACGCCCGGTGGTACTACCTCTGCGCGGTCCGCGACTGCTTCGGTGTTAACATTTGCCTGTGAACTTGTCGGACAGTCGGCTGCAGGACTAACGTGCAGGACACTTCTATGAGCCGGTAGGTTATTCAAGCGTGCCGCTGCCGCAAAGCCATGACGTCTGTCCGGATTCACCAATCAGGCGAGTTCACTGTCCTGTCGCCGCAGTGCAGGTTCGATCAGTCCGATAGTTTTTGTACTTGTGGTTCGTGGCACTTACTCTCCCGTTGTCTCTTCCAGTCACTTCGGCGCACAGATTGAGTAAAAGCCATCCAGTCAGTTCTGGCCCTCTATATCTGAGCTCGTTTCCAGAGCGGGGAACAATCATTATTGCGCTCGTACAGTCGGCGGCGCGAAAAGTTTAGCTGTCCTTTAACCCTCCTCCGTGTAATTGAACACTTTCGGGGCCGATTTCCTGCTGTTCTGTCTGGATCTTATGTGGGTTACGCCTACGGGTCATTGGAGAATCCACATGTAACCCCCCCCCAATCACTGTGTTGTTCACCTTGGACTGTGAGCTGGCCTTCAAGGACCTACCTTCTATGATCCCAACTGGCTTTAGAGGCCACAGTGCATGTGTTTTACGACCTGCGTTTGGTGGATATGCGGACAAGGAACCGGGAGGAAAGATGATTAGCAAGCCGCTCCGCGGCCGAACAGAAACTACGTAGGCCGCTCGACGCAGACCCGAGTGTGTTTGCTTCACTGGCCGCCGTCGACAGTCAGCCTCCAGAACTGCTGCCAAAACTGTTTGGAAACTTTTTGTAGAATCTATTCACAGAAATTACCTGGACTCGCTGTCATCCAGTCGGTGTCGAAACCTAGTATCCTTTTAGTGTTGTTGCTTTTTCCCTCAGATTCTGACTCGTGCCCACCGTTCTTGCTTTACTCTTAATACTATCAAGGTGTATGATACTCCCACACTGTGCTTTACATACCACAAACGAAGTGTCCGCTTGTGCTCATCGGCCCAGTCCGTGTTTGGCAATTAACTCCAATTTAATGTGTAGCGGACAGACATGAACCAGCTTAAGTGAATAATTTCAGAAAGTACTCAGTACAGGACTTGGAGTTAAATCTCCGGAACATTACTTTTTAGGGTCAAAACCGAAATTTCAATGAACATTCGAGTCGAAGACAACCACGTAATGTCCATCCTACAAACAAGTAGTCCCACGAGTAGTATGAAATCCATATGGTAAAGGTATTATACCGTACTCCCGACATGGATACCTGCTAAAAGCCCAGACACGTGTTTCGCCGATATTCTGCCGCTGTGTGACACAGCTGCAGGAGCGCCAAGTTTGAGAGCAGAGGTGCCTGGTGTCTGGACACTGTCTGCTTTTCTTTCTTCTGTTCCCAGTTGAGGTGCGCGAAGAAAACAACCCTCTTTCCCCGGTGGCAGCTTCCAATTCCGCCTTTCCCGGATAATTATGAAGTTCACGTTTCCTTGGGTTATTTGATTCTCCGTCCGCTCCTCGTTCTGCACTCCCTTTGTCCTTATATGATAAACCTTGTTATAATACTCGTCTTGTGCCTGAAGATTGATATCAAACGATGAATGTTCTGAAGGCCGACCTGAACGATACACAGACCGGGCAGAGCATTCCGGACCCAGACGTGCCGTTCCAGGCAACCCATAAGGATACGGGCGAGACCAGGGCCACTGAACCCCTATCGAGGTCGGTCGTTACAAATGAAGGGAGAAATAAATAAATCCTGTATTGCCGCCACAAAACGTAGCCCACAATTGTTTTAAGCGCTAGTGTGACTGGCATCTTTCTATGGGTTTCCGGTTTAAAAATTTTCCTCAGAACGAATTGGGCTCTTCCGCTGAAAGTTGCGCCTTTCTGATTGAAATTCCGGACCTGTCAGTGAAAACCGGGGCGCAACACTGATCCACTTTCGACCTACTGTAAATAATATTTGCACGATGGAACTTATGACTCGTATAAATTAGCACATTGGCGGATACTGCATGTATCGGTAACTTGTCTTCACAAAGCCCAAACACCGGAGTTAGGGCTACAGTGGTTTTTGTTTACTATTTGACACTACCACAGGAATATGCAGGTTTGAGGAGGATTGTTTAATGAATCTGCAGTCATTCACCGCCAACTGAGTATACGTTTGCAGAACGTCTGGTACTCGTCTGAGGAAGTTACCCAGGTCCAGACCTAGATGACTAGTCGGCTTAGTAAGTAATCACTGAATTCACAACGATGGCCATCTATAATGCGTCAAAGGCGAGGGGGGGAAGTAGTCCGAGGATGGTGGGTGAGGCTTAAAATCCTCTTATCAGACTAACTTTATTTTCCCATACATGTTACCAGGTTGTCGAGCCATATAAAAGTTCTATTTTGAGCACTTCACGGTGATTTTCAGTCAACGTGAAAAACGGCGGGTTTGGGGGGGGGGATTGAGTTTTTGGCACTGTCTCTCTCTCGACCATTTTCGGGAGGAAACCTACTGTCTATAGCCTCTGAGCAACAGAGAAACCGCCTGTGGTATTTTCATTTAACTCCCGATCATATCAAGAAGGTCTCGTGGTTTTAACTCTGCTTGATTGACTGACGAATAGGACAGTTGCCTCCGCGCCGTTTTAAGGACTTCTGCTGCCTGTATAATTTGCAAATCTTGCTTGGGATGCTCGCATCTATGCACTTAGTTAGGAGGCATTCATAGAGTAGCTATGACTGAAGTTATTCTGCCGGCAAATTTGTTTATTTATCACCCTGAACCCACGGTGCATTAGCAGGGGAAAATCGCGCAGACCGAGGGAAATATCGGCAGATTGATCAAAAATTTGCTCGAAACTTTCCTTTATGGGTGCGTACGATTAGGTGAGCGTCCATCCTTTTGAGTAATTACTTTTGGTAACAGAACGATAGACCCGAAATCGCCGTCTACGCTATTCGTACGCTGCTAGAGCTTGCTACGTAAACTTTTCGGCAACACTTAGTGTTTATTCGAAACAGAGAATTAGAGACCAGACAAGACGCCCCGTTTGTCTGTAACTCGGGGCTTATTTAAAAACTATAAACAGATCTTGAATTTAAATTTCAGGCAGGTTCGGGCCTCATCTCCTGCAAATTCCTCGATGATAGGTTTTTAACATTAGTCGGGCTTTTGTACAGTTAAGTGGACAAACGTTTGGCTATCGAGGTCGCCGATGAAAATCTATGAATATCTGGTGACCGTGGTCCTGTGCAGATCTCATTAGGCTCCAATAGAAGGTCCGTGTACAGAGAAAATAAACTTACATCTGAGAGGTGACTTCTTTAATCACAACTGGTGATAAGGGGGAAATTGAAGAAAACCACGGATATCCGACCTCTTAGCCGGAGTACGTACAGTTCGTTCAAAATCTCGTCGACAACTAGGCTCTGCGATAGGCTGGCAGGATTGACAAATTTGTGTAGAAAGTTTGAGAAATAATAAACAAACCAGTAATCATTGCAACAACTCGGAGGACATTCCTCTAGTCCCGCAATATGAAATTTAATAATAGGCAGGAAACTTAGAATTTGATATCTCCGCAGTTTAGGTTGTCCGCGCAGTTTTTGTCTAAAAAGAGATAAATTAGGAGATTTTATTCTAAAAAGTGTGCATATGAAGGCTAGAAAAGTAAGTGCATTTGTATAGGAGAGATGCTCGGTGGTATTTTGAAGAGAAGGATTACAAATTATGAGGATAATTCAGAGGTGTAAGCATGATAGAGAAAACGGAAACTAAGCACGGGTCCAACACAAAAGATGTTGGGTACTTCTACGCCTATCTTTGGACGTCAGGAGTGTCAAACCCTATGTGGCAGAAATATCATGAGTACTAGACTCCGAAAAATGTTAAATACGATTAACAATACCAAGAGGTGGAAGAAGAGGAAAACTGGATCTCAAAGTCCACATAGTTATTACTATGTCCCTTATAGAGGTACAAACTTCCAGCATCTGCTGCCTCGGTTGGAAGTTTTTTGAAGAGGTTTAAAAGTCCATAAAAAGGTGGTGGCGGGATTTCGATGCTAGGTGATATCACTTCACTCACCAGTTTGACCTCATAGAGCCCAGTCGAGCAGATTGACGAGTTACTGGGTGTTACGTACAAGTTGCTTAAGCCCGCTCACCCTACTCAGCTGCTCTAATTCTACCTATGCAGGGCGTTCCTATTTGCTCGCCGGTCTCTGTTCCCAATAAACTCGTACTCAAAGGCTATAAACTCATGGTGACTTTGACCCCTTCTTCTTTTTCAGCTTCTTCTTCTTCTTCTTCTTCTTCTTCTTCTTATTATTATTATTATTGCCGGAAGCAGAAGTTTTGTGCCCAAAATGTTGACAGTACATCCTTTATTTGAAAGTTGTAAGCTGTTTTAGTATCTTAAAATTTAAAGTTTCGACCTCTCGGACGTCGAGTTCATGATTGGGGGAATAACTAACCGCCTTATCTGGACGTCCTTGTCTCTGGGCCCTGAAGAGGACGGTAAACGGAAAAGTGACCAAGATGCACAAAATCCTCCTTTAACGTGTAATCGTCTCTCTTCCACGAGAGCAGCCACATACGAACCATTTACAGAACAAAAGACGCCATTGAGGGTTACGAGGGTTAGCCTTCTGGGCTGACGGAGGCCCATATAACCATGTCAGATGTATCGGATGGCCGAGGTCACCTTAAATGCAAGCAGCGAAGATATAAAAACTCCAGTTATCGATACCATAACTTAGTAATCGTCCCAAGGTAGTTACCCATCTTCTACGATACCTGGGGTCACCGTCACCCACAGACATGAAGCAGCAGTCCAGCATTAAATCGTGAGACCTAAGGACCCCTTGCACGAGCTGAAAGGTTGTGCATCAGCTGTTTGATATGGCACAGCTCATTCAAGGCGAATTACGTTGGTGAGAGGCGTAGGTGGCTAATGAATGCCCTATTCTTGCGATCCAATGGCTCCAACAATAGCGGATGGGACGTAGGCCCGTAGCCAAGTGACAGAACATTGGAACCAATTTCTCCACGGCTAAGTGGTCTGAGTCCAAACCCCAGGTTGTCATTGACCGGATTACTGATGACGTTAAGTAGATCCGAAATGGCTGTTCTAGTTTCCATCATGTTTGCCAGTGACATCTTTGTCATTCAGTCTCTATCCAAGTGTCCAGCTGCACACACCCTGTCTCATTCACAGTAGAGCAAATACCTGATCACGTTGCGGATAGGAAACATCATTTGGGTCGGAGTTCAATCAGGGAAGGTGAGGACAACTTCTGTTCCTGGGCCATCATTTCGTCTTGGATGCAGCAGCCAGATGTGCGCTAAGTCGCGAATAGTGGGGAAGACTTGCGCAACATCTGACGTCATGCCCTCGTCCACAAAGTTGCATTAGCAAGAGGAAATCAACGCGAATGGATGTGGGCATGGACGCAGTCGCCAACGTGGCTGGATGTGCGTCCGTGAGTGCCACCACACGCACATAAACCAGACTTTGCTAAGGAAATTCTAAGACCGCATATACGTACTATGGGTGGCGAAAACTGTGAAATACTGACACTCCAGATTTCTTCCTTTGAAAGCGGAAATTTAAATGATGTTTGCAGTTTGATTTGCTTACAACATTGCCCCGGAGGTCTATATGAATTGAAACACAGTTTTTTCAGAGTTGCATCGAAGAAATTGCAAATCGGGACATCTACCGGCACAAATCTTTGTAAATACGAGAAATCTTGAGACGCTGGAATTGCTGTCTATAACATTGGCAGGTTTATAATTGTTTAATTTGCAGTAAAAAATAAGATCCACGCGTCCATGACATATTACGAACACTTGACGACCCCCTCCTAGTGGACTAAAGGGATATATAGCTCCGCCATAATGGAAGGTCCAAAACCTTTTATTTGGGAACTTTAAAAGCAAATGCGGTATTTTGATTTTAGACCACTGTAAGAATGAGCAAAATTATTTAAACCGAAAGAGGCGCTTTCTCACAATATGCCTTTTCAGGAATACGCAAATTTCAGTAAAAGCAATATAGGGGAAAATTGTTCAGTGCATCACTTACGTGAAACTCGGCTGAATTTGTGCAGACGGCGAAATTCAATTGAAGGATGCGCGCGCTGGGTAGGTAATCATTTTCAGTGAGTTTCGTTTGCAAGTGCCTGAAAAGATGCGCATCAAAAGTCATCGGCTCGACACGGAGAAATGGCTTTTGGCTTATGTTGCATGCGAAGCTACATTGAAACCTGACTTATGTAATGCTCTTTGACGGGAACTGTATTTTTTTGATTTTCAGTGGAAGTTGTGGTGTGAATCCCATATTCGCGCTCATTGTATTACCGCCGCTGGCTGTGGAGAGCTACATTAATTCCTTTCCGTGCTACGTATCGTACAACACCAGAATATGCTGATCTGTTTTACCTGAATTAACCCCTATACAAAAAACGGGACTTCTATTTAGCGAGATATATATCTATATACCGCCAGTAGAGAGGAAATAAGGAAAACTACGCACAAATATACAATACTAACCCAAATGCATGCCTGTAATAGCACTCATTTGTTGCGAATTATCGTCGCGGGTGAAATGGAATATCACCTATAAAATATGCACTAAATGTCACATGTAGTCAGTGGCCAAATCAGTATAACGCTCACGTGAGCGCAGGAAAAAAACGATTATAGCTTTGTTTTTCTGCAGCCACGGCCTTATTAATCAGGCGATCTCTGAAGAGTCTTCTTTTAAATGGCAGCAGACCCGTTTGAGGGTTTTTTTAGCTGGCACAAACTACTTATTCGGAGGTTAGAAACAGGGACCCAATATCTTCACTTAGTGTAAATATTGACCCGAATTCCTAAAAAAGAGAATGATTTTAAATTTGTCAGGTTGAGGACAATACGAGAAAAAAGTCGAAAACAAATTGCATTAGTTCTCTCCGTAAGCAAAAGGTATCGTTTTTTGTTTATCGCGCTCAAGTCAGGACTGTAAATCCTCAAGACATTGTCGGTGGAAAGAAGAATTTGCTAGAATATCCGCCTGAACCATATGTTACGTGACTATATTGCACATCTCCGCCACATTAGATGTTATTTAACACAATAGTTCGACCGTCGTTGTCGAAGATGTCCACCGTATGCTCCACAGTAAGGTGAAGCAGGGCGATGACTTGCACGTGAATTAGTCTAGAGTGATAGTAGACTTGCGCAGCATCTACCGCACTCCCTCTTCCCATTCCCCACCTGGACCCTGTGTCAAGACATAGTAAAGAAGATCGGGGGCGGGGGAAGACGCAGGTGGCTGGCGCGGCCGAACCCGCCCCTTGGCGTGCCGCCAGACCCGGCTCGGATCCCACGGAGTCGGAGTGTTATAAAGGCCACATTAAGAATGAGTCTTTGCAGCCTGACACTTAGACCACCAGCTCGCCACTCCGCATAAACATACAAACACAACTGGAAGAACTGCGTGAACCGAGCTGGTGCGACAGTCAGCAGCCTTCCAAGCCACGGTGCTTGACGCACCGTGATAGTCTCAGACTCCGACCACACATGCAGCAGGGGAGCCGCATTAAACAAGAAGCCGAGACGCACACTTCCCACTTGCATGAGAGGTGGCCTTCGGGTGCTTGCGGTGGGTATTATGTGCGGTAAGATGCTGGTGAGGGAGGAAGTGATGGTGGGGGGCAGCCGGCTGTTATCTACCGCAGGTTTTCGTGGACGTGCAGGTGACCTAACAGGCCCATGTGGGGCAGGAATGTGCGAGTGTATTATGGACAGGGGAGGTGGATGCGGTGAGTGTAGGTTGGTGCTCCAGGCACTGGCTCACCGGTCTCTGTGCGATGGATTCGGACGTCACCGACCAGGCCGATGTGTGAGGTGAAGGTGCGGTCGAAATGAGTACAGGTATAGGCCAGTTTCTCACCACTGGTGTCGACGGTGGTGGTGTTGGTGTTTGTTGGTGTGTCAGGATTGTGTGTAGTGTTGATGAGCATGGCAGATGCCACAAAGGAAGACGAGGAGGAGGAGGAGGAGGAGGAGTAGGAGGAGGATGGAAGTGGTGGTTCAGGAGAGCGGTCAGAGTTAGTTGGCGGCGTGGAGGACGAGGAGGAGTTGGGTGGAGGGACGACGGTTGGTGCGGTCTGAGTGGCGCAGGTGATTCGGAGGTGTCCACCAAGTCCAATTCGTGCCCGGGATGTCCGTTGACACCGGGGACACGTTGGAGGCGGTTGTGAGTTGGCATTACGGGGTGGCGCAGCTGTGACTTACGTGCTTCGCGTTTGGTTTTGGTGGCGGCGATGCGGTTGGCTTGATAGATCACAGCGCCTGTCCTCACTGTTCTCCTTCAGGTCGGTCGGTTGCGGGCAAGGTCTTCCCAGTTGGCCGGGTTGATTTGCAGAAGTTTCAGGGAGGACTACAGAGTATCCCTGTATCGGCGGATTTGGCCTCATTGGCGGCGGGAACCCGTGGCGACATCTCCATAGGATAGTCGTTAGGGTAGCCGTTCTTCGTCCGTCCGCACGAGGTGGCCACTCCAACTCAGCTACAGCTGTCCCAGCACGGTTCAGATGCTGAGAATTCCCGTCTGCTCCAGTACATCAGTGTCGGAATACGGACTTGCCACTTCAGATTCAGGATGCGATGTAGACTGCCGAGGTGGAAGTGGTTGAGTCGGCGTGCCTTCTACGTGTACACCGTCCAAGTCTCAGGTCCGTACAACAACGTCGGGAGGATGACGGCCTTGTACATCTTCAGCTTCGTGCTCAGCTGAAGACCATGACGATTCCCAACAGTGCTTTGAAGGCGACCGAAGGCCTGACTGGCCTTCAAAATCCGGCGAGCGGCTTCATCGTCGACTTTCGTGTTGCGGGAGAAGGTACTGCCCAGATACAGCAGGTTTTCCACCACTTGCATTTGGGTTCCGTTCACGCTGATTTGCGGCGTATTGTGGAGGGTGACTGTGTTGGGTGGCGGTCGATGCATGACCGCCGTCTTCTCCGTGTTGATGACCAGACCGAAGTTCTCGTAGGCGGCGGAGAACAGGTCCATGCTGCGTTGCATCTCCTCTTCCGAGGTGGTGTTCAGGGCGCAGTCGTCGGCGAAGAGAAGTTCGTGAACAGTGGTTGTGGATACGCGCGACTGGAAGTGCATCCGCCGTTGATTCAGGAGGTGACAGTCCGTCCTGTAGGCGATGCGGATCCCGGGGCGTTCATCGCGGTAGGCGTCCATCAGCATAGCAGGGACCAGGAGACTGAAGAGGGTGGGCGCCAGCATGCATCCCTGCTTCACTCCGTTGGTCACTGCGAATGCCTCTGAGACAGCACCGTTGTCCGTGACTCGTGCCATCATGCCGTCGTGCAGCTGACGCACCATCTGAGTGAATCGCTCCGGACAGCCGAATTTCTTTACGACTTTCCATAGTATTTCAGGAGTCACCGTGTCGAAGGCTTTCGTCAGATCTACGAAGGTAGAATACATCTGTGTCCGCATCTCCTGGCACTTCTGCTGAAGTTGGCGGGCGTCGGAGATCATATCCGTGGTCCCGCGATGACGGCGGAAGGCGCACTGGCTTTCCGGTAGAAGGCCCTCTTCTAGGTGATTATTCAGACAATTGAGGAGGATGCGAACGAAGATCTTCCCGGCGATGTTCAGCAAGGAGATGCAGCGGTGATTGTCGCAGAGTTGGTGGTTCGCTTTTCGCTTGTATAGATGCACGATTGTGGCGTCTTTGAAATCTTGCGGGACTTCATCTTGACGCCACATCTGGAAGAGCGCAATCAGGTGATCTATGAGTTGGGGGGCGCCGTGTTGTAGACTTCAGCAGGAATCGCGTCCGATCCGGGTGCTTGCCCGCTGGAGAGCTGCTGCGCTGCCTTGATGGTTTCCTGGAGAGATGGCGGGAGGTCGAGGTCCACGTTGGTCTCCACTTGCAGCAATCGGGCGATGGCGGCGTCAGAGAGGATGGAAGGGCGGTTGAGGACGCCTCGGAAATGCTCGGCCCAGCGCTGTAGAATTTGTGTTTTCTCGGTCAGGAGGGTACTGTCATCGTCGCTGAAGAAAGGGACAGTGCCTTTGGTCGGCGTACCGTAGACAGCTTTGATCGCGGAGAGGACGGCGTCGTTGTCGTCGAACCAGTCCTGGTGTTGGCGGCGTGCGCGACTGAGGACGGCCAGCGCCGTTGACTGGACCGTGTCTCGCAGTTGACACCAGCGGTTCTCCACGGAGGCGTTCTCGTCAGTGGCGGCGTCAGCGGCAGCGGCAGCGATGGGAAGGTTGTCCAGCCGTTGAGCTAGCTCATTGCTGAAATGAAGATGGTGAGTGAGCAATGACAGCAATGCAATATTCAGCTTACCTGGGGGTCGCTTACCTTGTGGTCTCCTGCGAGGCTGTAGGCGAATACGCATCTTCGAGATGACGAGGCGATGGTCGGTTCACCCATCAGCGCCCGCGGTCGCCTTTGTCACCAGCATGTCCCGCTGATCTCGCCTCCGGACGAGGATATAGTACAGCAGGTGCCACTAACACGACCGAGGATGCCTCCAGGTGGCCTTCTCTCACTCCGGCAGACAGAAGAACGTGTTCGTCAGAATGAGGCGGTGTTCTGCGCAGGTGCGGAGAAGGAGTAGGCCATTGTCGTTTGAGCCGTGAAGACCATGGGGGTCTAGCGCTCCTCTACAGGTAGCATGGTCTGTGCGGACATGGGCGTTGAAGTCGCCAAGGACAGTCAACTTGTCCGCCTTACACACAGGCGCCAGGAGTGTATGCAGGTCTTCGTAGAATGTGTCCCTTGCGGCGTCGAGGCTGGTCATCGGCGGAGCGTAGGCACTGATGATGGGGGCGAATTTGTCTCCCCGAAGAGGCAGACGGAGGCTCATCAGGCGATCGTTGATGCCCTGCGGCAGACAGGGAAGTCGTCCTACGATGTCATTCCGGATGACGAAGGTGACACTCGCGTCCCTTGACGCGACAGCTCCAGAAGTAAGTGCATCCCGCACCCATCCCCTTCAGTTGGCCTAGTTTGGATAAGCACGGCTTGCTGAAAACAGCGATGTTCACCTTGTAGCACGCCGGTTTCCGAGCGACTTGCGCCGTCCTACGTTCCAGCCCGTTGATCCGCGAATTGTCTAAGCGGACACGAACATTCCAGGGTGCCAGAGTGTGCGGAGTCACCCTGCCAGTCTGGCGATTAAGAAAGCGGGAAGGAGGGGGAAAAAAGAAGAAGAAGAAGAAGAAGAAGAAGAAGAAAAAGAAGAAGCAGGAGGAGGAGGAAGAGAGAAAGTATTGTTGCTGTTGTTGTTGTTGTTGTTGCTGCTGTTGTTTTGATTTTGGTTGTTTCGACCGTGAGTTTGGCGTCTGCGACCACGTTCAGACTGAAGAAAACGTGGTTCCCCAACAATTTTTAGGGCAAATTTTCTAATCCCTCCCCTTGTTGACGACCCTTGCCTCCCTAAATAGGGCTGTCCGGTTGTACCGGTGCGGCCGAACTCCACTATGGGCCGCGAATTTAGTTGTAGTGGAAGAACGAATCGAATTTTCCAAAAGCTTTTGACATCGCCGTAATCTCGTGGCCACCTACGGTGCATCAGACGGAGCCTCGTCTTGACGATTCCGATGCGAAATTCCAACCGACCGGCTGAGCAGCAGCGTACCAGACGGAGCCTCGTCACGACGGGGCCGATGTGGAGTGCCATCCGACCAACCGTCCAGCGGAGTCCGCACTACCGTGTACGCGGGCACAGGGTGCACAAGGATTCCCTCGCCCGGTTTAACCTGCCGGTCGAGGGGGTTGCCCGGGGTGTGGCCGCTGAGCAGAGCCCAGCTTCGGGGAACAACACGTGAGAGTTGGGTGTCAGAAAAGGGACGCTAGGAGTAGTCTGCACCTGCATGCAAGTGAGCGACCTACTACGATCATCGCGTGAACCCACTTCTGAGCATTCCTACACCCAACCCCTGCACACACACACACGACAGTTCGACCGTCGATTTCGACGATGTCTACCGTGTGCCCCACAGACTGCATTGTGGGAGCAGGGACGGTGACTTACGCAGGGGTTTATAGTGCCAGTAGACTTGCGTAGCATCTGCCTACACTCTCTCCTCCTCCCCCGCCTGGGCCCGGTGTCAAGACAGAGTCAACAAGACCGGAGACGAGGGAGGCCGCAGGTGGATGGCTCGGACGGATCCTCACCTTGGCGTTCCACCACACCCCCTGGTCCACACAACAATAACCAGGATTTCAACCAACACAACAGAGATTTGGAGGCTGGCACGGCCGAAGCCGCACCTAGGCGTGCCGCCGACACCTGGCTCGGATCCCACACTGTGGTGGGAATGCCATAAGGCCAGATTAAAAAGGAGCCATTGCAGCCTGACTCTCAGACCGCCTCCCGTTAAGGAGGAGGTCCAAGGTATCCCGTCAGTTGGCAACCTTCCAAGCCACGGCTTTTAGCGCACCGTGCCAGCTTCAAGCGCGTCAGATTGTTTATAGTGAGGAGAAAGTGCGCTGAGTCGTCGACCTCACTCTCCCTTCCCATCCCCACACTCCAGCCGCCGTCCGAGCCGGTCAGCAGACTGGAGTGGGGAATGGGCGCGGTGGCTGACATGGTCGACTGACCATGCCTGCGCGCACCACAGCACGACCTGGCCCCCCATACACACACAAACACCAGGATTTCACACAACGGGGGTAGAACGGCGTGTCTCCCACTTGCGTGAGAGGGCCGTGGAAGGTGCTGTTGCAGCCCGTCCCCAGCCCATCAGTCCGCCACTCCACACAACACACACACACACACACACAAACACAACGTGACGAACTGCGTGAGCCGAGAGCGGGCGTCGAACAGCAACCTTCCTATCCACGACGCTTGACGTGTCGGGATGGTCTCGGACTCAAGTCACCCGTGCAGCCGAAGTCGCATGGGGACCGAGTCCAGATGCACAATTCCCACTTGCGTGGAAGGTGGTAGTTGGTGCATGCGGTGGGTGAGTGTTGATGCGTGGTGGTGATGGTGGAGGAGGGAAGGAGGTGTGTGGATGTGTGGTGTGGACGGCAGTTGTCTACCACAGGTCGTCGTGGATGCGCATGTGGCCGAATAGACCCATGCGATGCGTGAAGGTGCGAGGGCAGTGTGGGCAGTGGAGGCGAGTGCGGTGGGTGTAGGTT